ACCACCCAAGTCACATGGTTGGTTTGCATGTCCATCTCCCAATACGATATTGTTTGCTGAGGGCAGGACTGGTGGGCAGAGAGCAATGTCAGAGGACACCAAGTTTGTCCCTTTGCTTCCTTCTTTCTTTTCTTTTTCTTTTCTTTCTTTCTTTTTTCCTTCCTTCCTTCCTTCCTTCCTTCCTTTCTTTTTTGTTTTGTTTTTGTTTGATTTTTGAGACAGGGTGTCTGTGTGTAGCTTTCTGACCAGGCTGGCCTCAAATGCACAGAGATCCGCCTGCCTCTGGGATTAAAGGTGAGCTCCATCTCTGCCAGGCTAGTTTGTCCTTTTCTTATAGAGCCTCAGGTCGTCCAAAGGCCTCCGGGCTGCTATTCCGTTATGAACTTCCTGGTTGCAAGAAAGTTTTTCTCTATATGACTTGTGTTTTCTCAGTTCATTTCCCAGGGACGGGCCATTTGGAGTTTATCTCCCTTCCTAGATCTGTGGGTCCTAAATTAAATTTTTATAGGTTATATATAAAACACGATTGTGTTACAAGGAGAGGCAGAGCTCATTGCTGAGAAGTGGCATTCCTTTCTAGCTTCAGAGTGTCATCTTCGGATTGAACTGTAGCGAAAAAAATCCACCCAGGGCACTCTCAAACCTGAGGCTCGAGGCTCCCATCTTTCTCTATAGATTCGGGTTCCATATCAGCCTAGAGAAAACCCTGGCATGGTGTCTAAGAGTGTGTCTGAGTGCGAGCATAAAGTTGTTCTGGCTTGAGGTCTGTGGATACTAGTGCTATCCTCCAAGCAGGGCCGTGGGGATTGAAGGGCCTGGCCTCCAAAGGATGCTCACTGCATGTACCTAAACTGAACTCTTGAGAGAGAACATCCCATTTCTGTGAAGTGACCATAGAAAGCAAGTGTCAATATTCAGGTTGTTGGGTATACTTAAGTTAACAGTCCTAATGACTTCAGGGGATAAATGGGAGAGGGTGAAATGCAATTTATGATTGCTGATTGAGTCACAGCTTTAGGGGGGAAGACTGTTTTCTTGTCTTATAGCTATGTGGGGGAGATATCCTTATTTTAGGAGTCAGTGCTAAAGCATTTAGGGATGAAGTATTAGGACATCTCATTTGCAAGTCGCAAAAAAAAAACTTGTGTGCATGCTTTAGATCAGGAAAAAAATTAAGGGGGAATGTTCACAGCAAATGTTGAATCTTGGCTCCTTGTCTATTCTTACCAATGTATGGCTGTGTTCAACATTATCATCATCCAAGTGAAAAGCAGATGAGGCCCTGACCTCACCTTATTCCCCTGCCTGCCTCTTCTGCCAAGATGGGAGTGTTGGATGCAATGTGGCATTGATTGACATCCCTGGCTTCCTTACACCTTCTGGGTGGAGATGAACTTTGTTCCAGGGTATGTGTTCTGGTAATCTAAGAAAGCTGGCCAGCGGGCACCACCTCATTCCGGTTTTGTGTGCACTTTGTTCACTTCTGATGATAGGAACTTGGAAAACATTGGGGACCTCATATTCTACGGTGCACACCCCAGCTGTGCACATCTTTCTTGTACAATTAGAGCTTGTGAAGACTATATACAGGATACAACCCCTGCCCCTATGAACTCCTTCTAGCTCTCTATTTGGATGATGTGATTATTGTCGTTTCCTGTGTCATTCTCTTCTGTTTCCCCCAGAGACTTATGTTGTGGGTCTTCATGACAATTTTGTAACATTATTTTTCTGTAAGAGGTTGTCCAGGTGACCCACAACCATTGTGCCTCTGACAGTAAGACTGGGTGTCCTAGACAGGAGATGTATTTAGTGGCTTTTTCCCAGGTGGCTTATGAGGGAGTGTGGGGACAGAAATGGCAGTTAGCAGCAGAGAGTGCCCCTGCTGAGGAGTACTGAGCCTGGGGCCCCTGTGGTTAACAAAGATCTATAATGAAGATCTATTTCCACATTGACAGGGAGGTTGTCTCAGCAGGTGGCTGCCTTTCAGTGCATTTAGCCAAATGGGGATATTTCACAGAACACAACCTACTCAAGTCCCCTGCTGAGTTCCCAGATTGTCCCTTGTCCAGCTACCACGACTCTGTTCTGAGCTGGGGAAGCTGCCTTGTTAGTCTGCCTAGGCTATCATGGCAGTTCACTGTCAGCAGCAGTAAGGAAACTTGCTAGGATCTCAGAACAGAAGAAGCAGGCCGCCTCACCTCAGCCATTCTGTTATTCGCATGGGACCTGGTTTGGAAGGAGAGGATGTGTTCTTTGGGTGCAGATGGGGAAAGTGCTCTATTTTCTAAGCTTAAACATGTGGATCCATAAATAATCCTGCCTTGAATTTGGCATGGACCATTTTACTAAGCCCGCAGGCCTGAAGTTTCACAGCCTTTCTTTTCTGAGATCGCAGCTGCCTCACACTCCTGACTCAGAGCAGACCTTGTGGCAGCACAATGGACACTGTGCATTGCCACTGTGGTTGGTACAAGCCATCTGAGAGTTCAGGACAGAGCCCCACAGTTCAGCAAGGAAACAAATACATTCTGAAAAACCATTTCAAAGTGAAGAGGGACAAGGGTGGGAATGAACTGGAAGTAATAGCATGTTGCTTTTCCAATCAGTCCCGGGTGCGGGGGGAGGGGCAGAGGTCTCTCTGCTTCTCTTAACAGACAGGGCAGGTGCAGCCTCCCAGGGCCTCCAGGGAGTCCTCCTAGCTCCTTTTCCAGTTCTCATCCAGCATGATCGTTTTCATTATAAACAATCAAACAATTGCCTGTGAAACTCTCTGGTTTCTCAGAAGGCTTTTCTGTGTTGCAGTATGTGGTAAGATGCACTTGTAAGTGACACCTGTGTTTGTGCTTCATGCTAATCTTTTCTCTCCAGTTGAATTGGGAAGTCTAGCTTAGACAGTGCAGAAGCACCAAGTGAGGTCAGACTTAGGCACGAGTGACAGCTCCATCATCGTTAAATAGCTCATGTTCAGTCTTTCCATCATCATGACCTCTGGCCTACCCAAGCATCTCTGCTGGCTCAGCTCTCATCAGACCAGTGGCATGGGAGAAAAGCTGCTGGGGGCAGGGGGTATGGTGCTTTCACAGGCTCCTGTTCATCTCTTACAACTGTCTGGTGAGGGAGAGGCAGCCTTGCAGTCTCCATGTAGGTCGTTGTTTTAGTCAGGGTTTCTATTGCTGCGACGAAACATCATGACCAAAAAGCAAGCTGGGAGGAAAGGGTTTATTTGGCTTACACTTAGGATTGCTGTTCTTCACTGAAGGAAGTCAGGACAGGAACTCAAACAGGGCAGGATCCTGGAGGCAGGAGCTGATGCAGAGACCATGGAGGGGTGCTGATTACTGACTTGCTTCCCATGGCTTGCTTGCTCAGCCTATTTTCTTATAGAACCCAAGATCAGCAGCCCAGGGATGGCATCACCCACCATGGGCTGGGCCCTCACCGTTGATCAATTGAGAAAATGCCTTACAGCTAGATCTCATGGAGGCATTTCCTCAGCTGAGGCTCCTTCCTCTGATAACTCTAGCTTGTGTCAAGTTGACACACAAAACTAGCCAATACAGTTGTATGGCACATGAGAAGTTACTTATCCACATGGCCAGACAGTGGTGGTGTTAGCTCCAGAGCCCAGATCTGAGGGATTCCAAAAGGTTTTTAGTGGAACACACCACTTCTGCCTTCACCAAGCCAAGCACAGCCTGGTAGTTTATGCACATATGTCCTTCATATTCTGCAGACTGTGTTTTAGGAATAACATACGATATAACTACTGTGGTAGGGTTAAAATACTTCCTGTTTCATGTTTCATAGGATGAGTACAGTCGCCGCTCCCTGGAGTGTCAGCCAGCAAGCAGAGTGCTGCTGTGTGGCACACCAACCACCATTTTAAGCTTTGACAGTGGACTTTGTTATTTCCCTATTTCCCTCCCTCTCCCACAATTGCCTGCCTCACCCAAGCCCAGTGTTTCTAGGGGCTCTTTGTAGTTCTCATGGCGTTGACATGACCTCGGTTAATGAGATGGAGTTGCTCAGAGCAGGGCCATATGCCCAGATGTCAGATAGGAGCCATATGATCCTGCCTGACCTTGGAGAGGGGACAGAGAACCCCCGGCTGCAGACCAGCAGTGCCAGCCCCTGATTGAGGGTTCAAACTCTGAAGGAAGGTTGAGCCACTGGGGCAAAAGTCCTCTGGTAATGAAGTCATGTGTCCTCAAGAGCAAGAATGAGCTCTCTGTGATATCACAAACAATGAGCATGTTGAGTCCAAGACCTGGGGTGAATGGAAGCTCAGGCCAAGGGACGTGAGATGAATCAGAACAATTCAAGAGATGCATTCTTCAAGGACAACTTTATGTTGTCAACAAGTGGAGCCCGCTGTTTTGGTGCCCAGTTAACCGTCTTCAGTGTACCATTTTGAACAGTTTTCTTAAGTCATGACCTCTTTAGGGCTTTTTGAAAAGTTTTAACTAGCACAAATTTAACTTCTCAAAAATAACGTGAGAAATGGATGAGAATGGCCTGCTTATTCTTTCTCCTGGGATCATTTCCCTTTACCTTCTTACTCAGCCAGGAACCAGACACTGGTGATCTGATTTCCAGGTTGTTGTTGTTGAAGCTCGTTACTCACTGCGGTTAAATAGCCAAGACGGTTGGTGTTTTAGAGAACTTAGCTCATGTGGTAGCACAGCAGTGGCCACTGCCTCACAAACTCTACAAAGGGCCGCCAGAGCATTGACAAAGTTCCCTGCCAGCCGTGCCTGCATCTGTCCGTGATGTTTGGCTGCTGGGGCAGTGTCCCAGGTTGAGAGCGCCCCAGCAGAAGATTGGTGGGAGCCAGATAAGGACCCCTACCGCCCCACACTGGGTGTTGCCTCAAAGAACAAGAAACAATGACATCCAGAAAGTGCCCCGGGCTGGGGGGCTGGGAGCTGAGCGCGGGAAGGTGGGCGGGAAGGTGGCGGGCGTCCCGGGTGGGGGCGGCGCAGGGCGGGGCGGGGCCTGGCCAGCTGCTCACACTCCTCCTCTCTGGACATAGGTGAGGCCAGAGGCCGTTAGGAAATCCCACTCTGCATGAATGCCGCCAGCCTGGGACCAGGACCTCACTGCTTCTTCCGCCTCAGACCGAGGAACTAAGCGACCCTTGCCGCGACTTCCTTCCCGGCCCCCCTCGCATCTCACTGCTGTCTTTCTGGATTGACCCCGTGGCCTCCTGCCTCGCTTTCCCACCGTGAACATCAATATGTGTCATGTCATTGTCACCTGCCGCTCGATGCTCTGGACCCTCCTGAGTATCGTAGTGGCCTTTGCCGAGCTCGTCGCCTTCATAAGCGCAGACTGGCTGATCGGGAAAGCCAAGACCCGCGGCGCTGAGCCGGCAGACACTGACTCAGAGCCCTACTATCTGGGCATCCTTTGCATCCGCACGCCCGGCATGCAGCAAGCCCCTAGAGACGCACTGTGCGGGACTTACGCCAAGAGCTTCGGGGATATCGCCAGCGGCTTCTGGCAGGCCACTGCTATCTTCCTGGCCATGGGGATCTTCATTCTCTGTGTGGTGGCCTTGGTGTCCGTCTTCACCATGTGTGTACAAAGCATCATGAAAAAAAGCATTTTCAACGTCTGCGGGCTCCTTCAGGGAATCGCAGGTGAGTACTGGGGTGAGGGGAGGAGCCTGAGCTCGGGACTTGTGGCACGTGCTGCCTGCCTCTGCTGAAGAGGGCTGGCCAGGGTCCTTTTCCCCTGGGGTCACTTTCAGTAGTACCAGGCTTGCAGTCTGGCACTCTTTGCTTGTTTCCTGTGGGTCTGAGTTGTTGGATTTTGTTTGAGTAACTGTGCCTACTTTTTTGCTTTTCTTATTAAAATAAAACTTTAGGGTCGACAGGGAGGGGGAGTCATGTCTGAGAGGTTTGATCAGAGCTTAGTCTCAGCTGCAGCAAGAACTCTGCTAACACGGAAAAGCATTGCCTTAGTTAGTTCCTTGTTTAGTTAGAGGCAGAGAGGTTGCCCTACCCTGGTGAGTTCAGCTCTGGAATGGGAGGACTGGGGATGGGGGTAGGGGTGGGGGATTAGCGTCAGCTGCTCTGTAGTTAATGGTGTTTCCACTTAAATTGTCTCCTGGAGCCTCATAGCATGTTCTGTGCAGTCAGATCAGAGATGCAAGCTAACTTCATTTTTCTGGGCATTTCTCACTAATGAGCTTGTTGAAAATGGATGGAAAGTCTGAGTTTTTGACAGTGATCCAGGAGGGAAGGCTGCAAGAAAAGGTGTGTGGACTCTTGATACTACCCAGGTTTCCCCAAAGATTCAAAGGTGGACAGTGAACCAAGACAGCAGCCGTTAGCCCAGCTGGAGGGACTGCCTCCAGGCAGCTGAATTAGAAAGCATCTCACAGAGGTAGAATGGACAGGGGAGCATTACCATTTTAAACAGGATATTGTTCTGTTTCAGCCTTGGTGGGAGGGGTGGGAGGGGCAGGAGTCTACCACCGCCCTATTGAAGAGCACTGGTGGTTCCCTCTCACCTCTCACCACGGCAGGAGCTGGGTCTGGGCCATTCATCAGTGGGGACCAGCTGAGCCCTGGAGCCAGGGAGCTAGCGAACAGTAGACCCTACATGAACTAACTCCACTCAGTCTCATAACAACTCTTGGGTTCAGCAGGGCTGCTTCCAAATAAACAGATCAAATGACAGGGCTTTTTCCAAACAACTGATAAGATAACATTTTTTTTCTGTTCCTCAGATCTGGGGCAGGGGCGGGCACTGCACGTTGTGATTAAGGATGGGGTAATGGGCTAAGAGATGACAGAATGTTTTTTCTGCCTGAGCTCCCTCCACAGGTTATTCTCCACGGACAGTCTTCAGGCACTTATCAGCTGTGCCATGAATGGTCCAGGTAGCTATAGACACTCACAGAATCTGCTTTGTTACTAGCTAGGAGATTCACTTTGGGTCAGAGTACCACCTCTCTGTGAAAAGTGGGAAGACTAGAACATGACATCACCTCAATGTTTGTTTGTTTTAATCTTAGTGTTCTAATTCTGTGAAGCTCTTTGTTCTTTAGATTCAGGCCTGAAATCTGAAGTCTGTCCCTTGGTGTTTCACCTCCGAGAAACATTAAAGGCAGAGGGTTTGGGTCCTTTTTCTTTTTAGCTTTCTTCTCCTCATAGTGCCTCAGGTGTCCATCTGAAAACATTTATTTGTGAAGTGTTACCAAAAGGTTTTAAAAGGTCAATCTAAACACATGGCCTGTGCTCAGGGTTCATTCATGCTCTTGGAAAGAGCCCTGGTAAAGAAAGGAGGGATTGACACCCCAACCACATCCAAAGACCCTCCATGCTTTCACAGCTTGCTTGTGGGCTTATTAGTGAGCTGGCCTGGGAGACTCTCGTGGTTTGTCCTCGTGGGAGAGCTCTTCCCCTGAGAAGCTCACATCACAGAAATATCTAGCAAAAAAAGGGGGGGGGGTCATTTACAGCATGGGGTGAGACATCTCTGCTCCAACACATGTCTTGTAGTTTTAGGGTACAAAGTAGAGACATCCTTTATCTTTTGGACTTGAAGACCAGTCCCATGCAGCCTGTTTTGTTTTTATGTTTCTGTTTCACTTTTCCTTGAACATATGGGAATCCTCCTGCCTCAACTTCTAGGTGCTGGCATTACAGGCTTGGACCATCACATCCAGCTTTATTTGTTGTTTTTAACAAGGGTCATTCCAGTCAATGTCATCCCTGAGGATGAGTTAGCCCAACAGATGTCCTTATGCCCTTGTGTGCTGCTGCACTTAATTGGCAAGCAAACATTTTCTTACAGTGTTCAATGTGTATTTACACCAGTGAATTTTTATGCCCTTCCCTCCCTCTTTCTCCCTTTCCCCCTCCCTCCATGCATAAATTAGCTGAGAGGAGTTGAGGAGAAGTACCCCTCATGAACCAGCCTGCTAGATAGAGATGGCAGCTCCAAAAATGTGAGCTCTCTAAAGAGATCTGAATTTTCTCTCTAACCCATGACTTGGGCACAGTTCAGAAATTCTGAAGCTACTCACAGTTTTCAATTGGCAAGAGGCAGAGGGCCTTCCTGTCTGGCACTCTGCTCTCTAGGGGCCACAGGCTTAAGGTGAAGATCTGAAATACAGAAAAGGCAGGCTTTTTGTCCATAGTCAGACTGATGATACACCACAGTGAAATAACGATAGATATGGATAAACTATTCTTCCTGTATTCCCACGTCTGCTAGAGGGGCTCTCAGGAAGGAGGTCCACACCACAGACAGTTCAACCCTGTATAGGCAGCAGGCCTGATCCTGGGATATTTGACTACAAAAGTAGCCACCCCAGTGTGAAGACAGTGGCTGTCATTATCTCCATAAGCAGCTGTATGAGCTGTATGAGAATGACTGCCCCAGGCATTCCTCTACTACGCCCCCTTGTGGTCTGCTTACAGTGAAGCAGAGAAGGAGCAAGGAAGTGAGTGCTGGGGACGTATTTGTTCTTACTCTATAGCAAAACTACACTTAAACAGGCAACTGGCTGGATATAAAACTATGAGATGACAAAAGCACATTGCCCAGGCACACATAATTTAAAAAAAATAAATAGTGCACAGGCTTTTGCAGAAATATAAACTGTGGAGTGGATGTGGCGTCATGTCTGTAATCTGAGCAGTTGGGAGAGGAAGGCAGAGGGTGGATCATAAGTTCAAATCCAGCCTGGCCTACATATCAAGACCCTCTCTCAGAATAAAACATACATTTAAAATATTGATGCTTTGACTCTACCTCAGTAGACTCTACCTCAGTGAATTTCTCTACCTCAGTAGAAATTTCTACCTGATGCTTTTAAAGCAACAACTACAGTTACCTGAAAATGCAGAATTTGTTTCAAGACTGGACCTAATGGCAGCCAGGAAGCTGCTCGTTCCTACCTTCACACAGAAGTCACCTCAGGCCATCATTGGTGTTGGGATTTACTGACCAAATTTGCCCACTTGCCTAACCTCCAGGTTTGCTCACTTGGAAACAGATATAATCATAGTGCATAGCTCAGGGTTGTGTGAGGATTAAATGAGATAATATGTTAGCAAGACAAGCATGATGTTTGGCATTTAGGAAACCATGGTAGCTCTGCGGTGACTATGAAAGTGTTTCTGCTTTCTTGCAGAGTTTTAGGATGTTTCCGTGTTTCCAAGAATTGATGTGTTCTACAGAATAGAGTATGTTTTATAGGCCTCTGGAATTGACCTTATTGTCCTCAAGTCCTGTATTTTCTGCATGATACTGCTCTCTAGTTCCTTGATTGCCTGCCTGGGATGAGGTTGCAGGGCGCAGGTGTAGAGCTGACCTGAGGCTTTAGACCATTAGATCTTCTTAGACCACAGTTCTCAGAAACAGAGGAACACAATCCACCTCTCCCTGTCTTCCACACATACGCTTCCCTGTGCTCTCTTCCCGGAGGCAGCATCCACACTTGAGTCTGGCTGCAGGTGGCTGCTCACACTCCCCTGGCAACAGAGACTTCAGACTAGCCTGCACTAGAGGAGAGCATGGCTGGGACTTGGCAGAGCCAGCTGCACACATGGGTTCAGATTCCTCTGGGATTCATTACAAATGCTGGGTAACCAGCCAGCAGGCCTGGTTTTTGCCAGCTGTCTTCCTTAGGTTGTGACCTGGATGTAATCCATAGTGAAACTGTAGAATGCAAAGATCCAGGTTTTCCATGACAGCACCAAGCAGTTTGTTTTCGGAAATTCATGGAGGGTAAATGTAGAAGTCCGTGGAATCCCCAGTGACTCAGGCTTGGGACAGAAGCCATTCAAATGAGCTCAGGAGTTGGCTCAGCTGTGTTGGCAGCGACTGTTCTACTGAGATTTACCATGAGGGTTGTGGGCCTGTCTGTCTGCTGTCTTCCAGTCCGTCTACACAGGCCTCTTTCTGTCTGTTGGCTCGCATCCTCTCTACTCCTTCCAGCCCTGTGTATCTCAGCCTAGCAGGACATCCTCCTACCATTCTGACTAGGCAGACTCCTATGGGCTGGCCTGTCTCTACAGAATGCAGTGGAGGGTGGAGTCATGTAGCCTTGGCCATGAAGGGCCTGGTTTGCATAGTTCTGCTTCCTTAAAAGTGAACAGAATGGTAGTGTAGGGAAGACTGGAACAAATGGAAAGGGAGTAAAAGAATGTGAGAGGACATGGAAGACTTGGCTTTGGTAACTGTGTCACTGCCTTTGTCATGGATCAGAGTGTGAATGGTCGTGTGCAACACCAACTGCCATCCAGGCTTCGTATTTATTATCAATCTGAGCCTGTATGGAAGGATGAGTGGCATGGAGAACACCACCACTGCAAGCCAGGCAGCCTTCCTCCATGGACCCCAGAGTGTGAGTGGAGCAATGGAGGGCAGGTCACACACCACGAGTTCCATCCAGGATTGACCTTCCAGAACCAGAGTCTGAGAGGAATGAGTGGGTATGAGATATACCATGACTGCCATCTGGGATTGGTTTCATTACTTTTCTTCCACAGGGTGTGAAATAAAACAGAAGCATCAAGATGTAATCGCTAGCACAATTTGGTCCCAGCCTAATCCCTGTTCGTTCATTCAAGGTCAGAAATATGAACTCACTAGGAAGAGGAGAGAAATGAAATCAGGGACT